CTCGGGCTCGTGCGAGTGCCGCGGGTTCAGGGAGGGAGGAAATCCGAGAGGCTCTTTGTGCCGGTCGCTGAGGCTGGGGTGCAGCGTGCCAAACGGGGTGTGGGAGGGAGGGTGGGCAGCCTGAAGGCCTGGGTTGGACCTTGCTAAGCTGCCATTGCATTTGAGCGTTCATGGCCTCCGAAAGAGATGCTTACCTCTAACCGAACTTATCCTTGCTTAATCTCTTCTTTTTTTCCCACTCTGCTGCTTTTTTGTGTTCTCAGAGGAAGGAGGAATGCGCGAACGAGAAATCAGGTATTTGCTGGAGGCCCGTCTACGAGACGGAGTAAATTAACCAGAGAGATGCAACTATACTGGAAACAACCACCAAATAAAGCCCCTAAGGAAAATAAATGTCCACTTAAGCAGTCGGGCATGGCTCACGTTCCCCCCTGAGCTCCTTCCACGAGGGGTCTGGAGAGAAGCAGCTTTGCAACAAAAGCCAAAGCTCGCTGCAGGTTCAGACGCAGGCAGCTCGTTTCATACACTGCGCTGTTTGGGGTTTTTTAGCATCTGCTGACAGTGGCTGTTTCTTTAGGTGGAAGTGTTGTTGTAAGCTCTGTTACTGGAAGCTTATTTCATCAGACAGGTACAGCACAAGTTTTGTTTCGGCTCAGCTTTACACCTCTGAAATGGAATAGCTGTGATCCCATTGCATCGGTCCCCTGTCTCAACCAGACAGCGAGCAGCAGTCTTGCACACCCTTTTTGTGCATAATTGACTGCACATAGTATACTCAGCACTCTTTGATGGCTTGATGTGCGTAACGCCTCCTTTTCTTGCCTGTCCTCTTACTAAACTCAATGGCACTGCTCTTCAAATCTCTGTTTTTTGCAATCTGTAACACGTTTTCTGTGCTTTGTTGTCAATAAACCAGTAATTTTTTACTTTTGCCTTTTGTTTCATGAAGGATTCGGGACAGGCTATTCCCCTTGTAGTGGAAAGCTGCATTCGGTACATCAATTTGTACGGTAAGTCGATTCCATAATGTCAACAGAAACTTTCTGCAGAGGGAATGAAGGACTTGTAGTTAGCGATGAAATACAGTCGGGATGCCGGCAGCCCTTGCTGCGTGGGCTCAGGTTGTAATTGCAGTGGCATTGGCTGTGCTGTAGCGTTGGGTGACTGGCAGATATTTAGGTCTTGTTAACACTTACCCAGGTTAAACTGTTTGCTCAGGCCCAGGCCAGCGGGACCCCTTCCAGCGCTTTGACATGGGGGGCCTTGATTGGAGAACAGAAGCAGAAATGAATTGCAGCAGGCTGTCCCCTTCTCGATTTGAGCCTTTGCGGGTGCATCAACTCCTAGTTCCTGCTGTTCTTTACCAGAAAGTACTGTGTAACCGTTCCAGAAATCTTTCCTAAGACGTTGTTCTTTTCCAGGCCTTCAGCAGCAGGGCATTTTCAGAGTCCCTGGCTCCCAGGTGGAAGTGAACGACATCAAGAATTCGTTCGAAAGAGGTGTGTGGCCAGGGTGTGCAGCTGTAGCTGGGATGCCGTGTCCGAGCAGAGATGGTTGGTGGGAGTTTGTGTGCGCTGGGTGCATTAGGCATCGTGTAAAGCCTGTGCTAAAGGCCTTCCTGCTACGGGACACGAGGAGGTTTTGTCCCCTTCTAGGTATCTCAGTGTTGTATCTCCAGCAGTGGTGAAGAGTCGCTTAGGGAAGGAGTGTGAGAAGTAGGGGCAGGTGCAGAGATATTTTCCAGAGTCATTAATTAGGAGCATGAGAGCCATGAAACAGTTTGTTGGGGATCCATTTTCCTCCTTCCTGCAGCAGTTCGTCAAGGGAGGAGCAGCGTTGCCACGTGTACCTGGTGGCAGTGTTGGTCCTGGCGTTGCCCGTGATTCTGTTAAGAAAATCCCATCGAAGGCGCAAGGCCGGCGAGACTGGGCAGAGCAATCCTGTGGTCACCGAGTGAAGGTGAAGCTGTGAAAGGGACAGTCTAGACGGGGTTAATGGCCTCCACGGCATTAATCTTTGAGCAGCATTGGAAGGATCAGAGTGAAGGTGGCCAGGCCAATGAATAAGGCGGTGGTGGGATTGTCAAAGGCTGGAGGATTTGCACATCCAATTTGAGAGGAATCAGCATCCAAATCCCTTAGGTTTTGAAAGCCCTTATAGGTTTAAGTCATACGATGCTATCCAGAACCATTCAGTCTATTCCAGAGGCATAATTGCATCCTCCAGCCAAGCCTGTCGTCTCCGGCTTTCACCCACCACCGTTCAGATCTTCTCCACTCTCTGGGTTGCTGCCATAAATGCAAAAATGCACTGGGCTGGAAACTGTGAAGGAGAAACGATTAATGACGTCTTCAGGAAAGGCTTAGGATCTCCACGGTGAACTGGGTTTTTGTAGGTGGGGCTGTAGCATGTCTCGGCACGATGCTGTGTAACAGAGTACCTTGTTACACTCTCCTCTTGCTGGCAAAATGCGCAGCGTTGCCCTTGCACACACAGGAGGGTTTTCTGAGCTGCGGGAAATTTGGGGTTTCCACTGAGTTAGGAAAAAACACTTGCTGTGTTAATCCAACTTGACAGTAATGCTGGAAGTAAAAACTCTTCTCTGGGCAGGTGAAGATCCCCTTGCTGATGACCAAAACGAACGTGACATTAATTCGGTGGCTGGAGTCTTGAAGCTGTATTTCCGAGGACTGGAAAACCCCCTCTTTCCTAAGGAAAGGTTTCAAGATTTGATCTCTACTATAAGTAAGTACACGTGGCAGCTCCTCTCAGAGAAGAAGGTGGGACAAGAGAAGCCATAAACAGGGAGCAAGTACACCTGAGTTTTGCAAACAGCGGCTTGTGCTGCAGGAAGGGCTCTAGGCCTGCAATGGACGTTGTTGGGTAAAGGCATTAAGAGCATGCATTGGTAGCGCTGGAGGCGAGGGAGAGGTAAAACACCTTACTATAGCTCTTAAAATCTTCCTAGCCTCATGAGGGTCGGCAGAGAGTCATCTCCAAGCTCAGGCCCGCGGGCTGCAGGTGCAGCAAGCCCGTGTACACGTTTGTGGGTTGCGCGTGGGGCCGTTAGTTGCTGGACCGGGGGCGGCTGCTGCCCGGCCCGCACAGATCTCCCTGGGTAGCGGCGGTTCCCGTGCCTGCCCCTCGCGTGTCGTGCAGCCGTGGCTCCTGGGACCCAAGGGGGTTTTGCTTTAGCTCAGTGTCTTCTGAAGGTGGATGGCTCCTGGCTACTCGCAAAGCTTCTCTGACCCTTGAGTCCGCGGGCTTGGCTTCAAGTCTCACTCCATCAGCTGTTCTCCAGGTCTTTGCTATGTGCATTTCTCGTCCCAAGGGAAACCAGAAAGTGCTTTGGGCTGTGAGCAGAGGGAGAAGCTGAGGGGTTTTAACCAGGCAGGTCTGGGCTTGCTGTCAGGGAGAGCCTGGCTGCTTCTTGTTCTGTCCTCAATCCTCCTCCCAGCTCCACTTGTTCCTCTGCAACTGAAGAAACAGGTATCCCAGCTGGGGTTCATTTCAGTGCCTTGTAGTGATGACATTTATTTGTTGGCAAGTCATGGAAATCACTCCCCTGGGGGAAAGGAAGGAGAGAATGAATTTGATGTTTCAGAGATGATGGAGGAGTCTGTTGTGTGCTTTGGCTTTATTTTATGGGAGAGGTGTCGGGGTTGTTGGGGGTTCGAGTGTCGCAGTACGTGGGTAGCTTCAGAGGGACTGGCTGGTGGATGTGTGCTGAAGTCCTTCGTTTGGCTTGCGCTGCTCATGGCTCCTTCCCCCCTTCTTAATTTGCGTAACTGCTGGAGATTTAGTGATGTCAAGAAAGACAGATGATGTCTGGAGGGGGGTGACGCAGGGATGGGCTTGTTCCAGAAGGAGAAGAATGTGCTCCTGTTTTTCAAGAACAGAGCAGTTGTTCTACATGGGAGCTTTAGGAAAGCTGCTGTTCCCTTTCAGTTGCGATGTGTAAAACAGCACAGCACACCTGTAACACGGCAAACAGAGGAAGCTGTTTCTGCACCAGTTTTGTGCCCCAGAACAGGGGTTTTTCAGCCTGGCTTGTGGCCCTGGCCCCAGCTGCCCTCCCCAAGGGGCTTGCAGCAGGCAGAGCAGGGAGCCTGAGAGGGCACAGCCCACAGAGAAGTCCCCTTTGGCGCCGGGAAATGTCCCTGGTGCTCAGTGTCGTGACTGTGTGCTTGCAGACAGGCTTGTGCTTTGAAACCACCCTCAATTCATGCCAATTTGCACAATTTATTAAGCCTCTTGGAGTTTTTTGTTGCAAATGTCATCTGGTTAATTTTCTGGATAGTGTTCTCTTCTCTCTTTATTTTTTCTCATTTTAGCGAGAATCTTCCTGTTCCTCATCTTTCCTTTCTTTTCCTGCTGCTGTTGCTACCTTTCAACTAAGGATAGATTTTTAAATTAATTGAAGTGCCTCGTTCCCAGTAATAATCTGACCTGAAGTGCATCTGATTTCCTGCCAGATAAATACAGGCTGTGTGACAGGCGTCCCGGCCTTAGCAGGCTGCAGAAACCCTCTTCCTCTGAGAGCCGTGGCTCGGTCAGCCGCCACCCGCGCTGTGGGGCGTGCGGTCTCGTCTTGTAGTTCCGTCGGGAAGGCGGAACGCAGCCGGGCGGTTTGGGGGGGCTCTGCCCCGCCGGGCATCACCCGGGCACCTGCGCTCCCCCGGTGCCCGCGCGGCTGGGCTGGGCTGCGCTGGTGCAGCAGGGCCTCGGCGGGATGGGGAGGCCGGGCTTGCTGGCGGCAGGTGAAAGGTTGTTTTTTCCTTTTGCTCGTGGGGACTGAGAGCTTACGTGGAAGCGTTTCCCAAATGCACATGAGGAACAGAAGGATAGAAAAGGCACTTCGCAAAGGTTCGTTCAGGGGCGTGCCTGTACTGCAGAGTGATTGATGATTACTCCACTAATTCCTGTGAATTACAGCCAGTTGAAACATTTTGCAAAGTGAAGAGAGGCAAGTGCTTCAGGACAATTTGTTCCTCTGGGTTTCAGAACAGATACCTATTGTAGGTTTTTATCCAGCTTTTATTTATTTGATTTTTTTTTTTGTTGTTAGAAACATCCTCTTAAGTAAAACCAAACTGAGGAAGTAGAGAGCCCAGTAAGCAGTAACAGGGAACAAATGCATTCCTCAAAAGGAAGAATTTCCAAAATGAAATATTGTAAAGATTTCCATCTTTGTACTGAAGCCAAATTTTGCTCAGCACTCTGAACAAATGGCAGCCCAGCTACGTGTTGTCAGGGAATTTTATTCTGATTAGCAAATGTCAAAGTTGGAGCCAGCGGAGTGAAGTAAGCATCTCTTCCGTGCGTCTGAGGCTGGCTGCTCTCCGGGAGGCTCTGGTGCTCTCTGTCTGCCTTCTGCGAAGTAGAAGCCACGGGGCTGTCTGTCTGCACGCTGTGCTGAGCAGATACTACCTGGAAAGGCAGTCACCCTGGGGGCTGGAGCGGGCTGGGGGCTGCTGCGGGAGGGCGCTGAGCCCCCTCGGCGCGGCGGTGCTGCAGGGGCCAGAGGCGGGGGGGCTTGGGCAGCCTCCTGTGCGGGGCTGCGGGAGGGCGGGGGGCAGCCCAGGGGTCCCCGGGGGGGTGAGCTGGACTGAGAGCAAGGCGGCTCTGAGCCACCCCCCTTCCTGCAGAAGGAAGCTGGTTTCTGGTAGCAGCTGTGGGCTTTGTGCACTGCGGTGGAGAGAAGTGACTCTTAAAGTGCTGGCTCAGAGCTGGTTCGGTTTAAATTCCAGTTAAAACCAGTGGGAGATGGGAGCAGAAGGGCTCAGAAGGACCTGATGGTTAACCCATAAAAGTAATGTGAATAAATACTCATTTAAAAATCTGCACTAAAAAACCCAGCAGTGCTCCATTTTCCAGTGTCATATGGACTAAAGCTTTTGAGAAATAGAGTAGTCGTTGAGGAATGAACTAAATAATGCATAAACAGTTACTTTAAAAATGCAACTGTGGAAATGTCTTTATTTGTGGTTTGCGCTGAATCTGAACACAGACGCGAATTAGCAGGTGGAAGAGCACTATGCCCGATTCTCTGCTTGCACCTTGCTGCCAGACCAGTGGGTCTAAATCTGGAAACAGGCTATTGTTTTCCTTGCATAGTGGGCTACTAGATCTGGAACAAGTCCCTCTGGTGCTGTGTGTGGTCCTGGGAAGGTCTAAGGATGTGCTTTCTATCCGTGTGTTCCAGAAATCGAGAACCCCACTGAGAGAGTGCACCAGATCCAGCAAATCATCGTTACCCTGCCTCGGGCTGTCATTGTTGTCATGAGATATCTTTTTGCTTTCCTCAATCAGTGAGTCTCTTTTTTTTTTTTTTTCTCCCCTCTTTCACTGGGTTTCTCCTTGCCCTCCTTTTTTTTTGGGGCTTCCCTGTCTTTGTTGCATGAGCCCTTGTTGGTATTGCCATGGAGAGTGGTATCTTGCTCCTTCCTCAGCCTCCGCCTGGCCGCGGCTGGGTGTTCGGGGGAGGTGTCCAGCTCAGTGGTGATCGCTTTTGGGGGCACTGGGGCTTTGCTGGTGGGAGACTTCTCCGAGCGAGCGGGGAAAGCCGGCCCCGCACCTCCCTGACGCTTGTGCTTGCAGCTTGTCGCAGTACAGCGATGAGAACATGATGGATCCCTACAACCTGGCCATCTGCTTCGGGCCCACTCTGATGCACATTCCAGATGGGCAGGATCCGGTGTCCTGCCAGGCCCACGTCAATGAGGTCATCAAAACCATCATCATTAACCACGAGGGCATCTTCCCCAGCCACAGAGAGCTGGAAGGACCTGTCTACGAGAAGTGCATGACTGGAGGGGAGGAGTACTGGTAAGGAGCGGGGCAGGACTCGATGGTTTGCAGAACTCAAAGCCAGGTGCCCTTGTTAGGGTTGTCTTCTGGCGCGGTACGGCAAGAGCGAACCTGTGACAAAAGCAGAGCTTTGGCTTGATTCCTGGCCCACGGAGAGTTGACCCCCGCTCACACCGGTGTAGGTGAAGGGATCCAGGGAGCAGATCCCTGAGAGGAGGGGGTGTGAGGAGAGCTTTGGGGCAGTTCAGACAATACTCGGGGCAGCGGAGCGCAGCACTGGGGTGGATTTGCCCCTCTGCAGAAGGGACGTGCCTTTTTGCATTTGTTAAACGTGATGGATTAGGTGTGCAAGTGATGCACGTTTGATACACTTGTGCTGTTTACACTGGTTAAGAATCTCACTCCGTACCAGGCTGTCTGCATGGCTCTTTGTTATAAATGCCTTCAGAAAACGAAGAGGATTTTGCACACTGAACCAGTTAGTCTCTACTTGGGTGCGTCAGTTTTGCTGTTGATTTTAGCCTTGCTGGTTAACACAGAGCAGGCAGTTTCACCGAGTATTTGTTTTTCTCGTGCTGACTCAGCATGATAAACCTTAATAAAAATTTCAGGAGAACTTTTTTTCCAGTACGAATATTAATATTTATGAGGATTCTTTTAGCTGCAGCTTCACAGAAGTGTGTTCCGAGCAAACCAGAATTTTAGGTCAATTCTAACCAAATTCCTCCTAGGCTGGAATTTTTGAGTACAGTCCCATACTTTCCATAGTTGGATGAAATCCCTTAGACCGAAGTTAACCTGAACCTTGCAGTTCCTTTAGTTCGGTCAGTGTTGGAGGGCAGGTGGGTCTGCGCTGGCCGTGGACGGGACCAGCCGTGTGCGATGGCCGGGCATCGCGTCCTTCTGGCGCGCCGCTCGCCCGGCTCCCTGTGCCCAGGGTAGGAAGCTCCATACGCAAACTCCCGCGTTAGCAGTGCAAGTGATAGGACACACTTGCCTGGAGGATGCTGGAATTCCAAACTGACTTTCAGGTCTGAGTTTTAAGAAACCAGCGTTTGTAACAGGCTTGAACCGATTTGTGTGCAAGTTTCATACGTTTCTGAGACCTAATCTTCCCTGGCGCTGATCCCCTCCCGCCGTCCTTACTGATGCAAGCGGAGGATAAAATGCTAAAGCGCCTTGTGGACAAGCGAGTGGAACATTTTAACTTGGTATCACTTTAGATTTGTTTTGCCACACGCGAGTAAGGTGCACGAGCAACAGAACGTGACGTTCTAGGCCTGAAGATGGTGGTGTGAGTGTCTGCTGCTCTCAAAGCAAGTTCAGAGATCTGCTGTGATTTAAAACAACCATCTTCAGTCCTACAAAAACTAAAACAATAACTCTTTCAAGTGTCGCTGGGGCCAGAATTTCCCTCGATAACTTAGGATTGCTTTGTGCCTTAGCCACAGAACCTTGTTCTTTCACTGAAAGCACGGTGTATTTTATTTCAGTGACAGCCCACACAGCGAGCCAGGCACCATCGATGAAGTTGACCATGACAACGGCACGGAGCCGCACACCAGCGATGACGGTGAGCGCAGACGCGAGCAGCGGATACGGGGTCTGTGTTGGAAGAGCTGTGCCCCTTGCTGCTGCCAGCCTGGGGGCTGGACTAGTGCCTGGCACTGCCATGGGGGTGCTGTTTTTGTGTGCTTGGTAATGAACATGTGTATTCATGAACGTCATGTGAGGTTTCGCCATAGGATGCGCGTGGACGTTCCCAGCGGTCTGACCCTGTGGCAGGGAACGTGCATTGGTTTTTGTAGAGCCGGTCTGTGCGATTCCATTAATCCCATGTATGGCTTTTTTTCCCTTCTGGTCACCTGTGGTTACACGCAGCCACGCGATGGGGAGGCCGCGCTGTGTGAAACAGCTCATGAGAACAGGAGCTGGGGTGACGGGGGGGGACACACCAGCTCCCTTCACTCCGGGCCCTGGAATGCATTGTGGGGAAAACAGCGAACGTCAGCGGCCCCGTTGGGGGCCCTCTGAAGTGAGGGGTCTTCCAGCTGACTTCATTAGGCTGTGGATCATCCCCTGTCAAGCAGCCGTCTCCTTGGCAGAACCTGCACCCCCTGTGTTGGAGGGGGCTGCAGCCCGGTGTTCCCCGCAGGCAGCTCCGTTTCCTTTGGGGACAAAGTACCCACCTGCTCCTGTCAGGCCCGTGGAGCTGGCGCCTTTGGAGGGCGAAGCAGGACGTGCTGTGAGCCAGGACCGTGTGGACGGGTGCAGCCGGCTGCGAATCCCGTGCCACCGGGAGCGTCCCCAGTGCCCCGTAACGCTCTGGAGGAGGCTCAGGCCCAGCTTTGTGAGGTCCTGTCTGCTGCACGTCTGCGTGGACCCGCTCGGAGCTTCACGTGCGGCTCTCGGCGAAAGCTTTGAAGCTCACGGCGATCACAAAGGCGAGCGTGGGAACGAGGGTGCTGGCAGGGCCGGGCAAGAAGCGTGTTTGCTCCCCGGCACGGTACCAAAGCTGGAGGAAGCCCTGTGCTACCCTGGCGGCACCAGCAGCTCGGCCACGGGGCGACTCCGGCACAGCCACCCCGTGGCAGCGTTGAGCGGCAGGAC